CCCCCCCCCCCGACCTTCTTTTAGGCTTGTACTGCTCCGTAGGCGACTGCCTTGTGTTATTGTATTCACTGTGGGTTATTTTTAACGAACATAAGAGTGGACCGAAGAAAACATCTAAATCGCATATAAAAAGCATTAAGGGGTACAAACCTACTGTTTCGGTTGTCTCTCTGCACGCAGAGGGTGGAGCGGCAGCCGTTTTCGGTGGAGGAGGACGCGGCGAACGATGACCTGCTCGTCCCCCACACGTACTTCGGCTGGAGCAGCGAGGACGTGGACATGCAGGCGAGAACGCCAACGAAATCAGGAGTACTATTTAACACACTCCGTCGTCGAGAGAAGTTTGTTTTGTGTTGATATCACTCCTCCGGCGAGAGAACGCGGAGTAGTGTTGGTATCACCCCACCGACGATAATGCGAGCGAAATTTGTACCACTCATGATAGCGTCGCACAAGTCGAGAGAAGAGCGCGCTAGTCCATTCCGTCCGACGCTGGTCGGTCGACTATTTTTGCTCCTTGGTGCAAGCTCGTTTATTTTCTTCCTCGATAATAGCTCCAGAATCACACAGCCTCGGTGGAAGGTCGCGACGCACATATGACCTCTGCCTTTGAAACGTTTCGTGCGGTGTGTTCTTGGAGGCGTTTCATCGTCGATTTCGAGGGCATTTTATCTCGCGGTTTCAGTTACACTTGTGTTCGGTGGTGGCGTGGACTCGACGTGCTTTCCAAGGCGTTGCGGTACACAAATTTGTTGAGTTTCAGGCTCGTCGTCCCCTCCGTGATGCCAAAAAACCGTTTCGATCCCCCGGTCCCCTTGACCATGGTTGCCCCCCACCTCGTCCGCCCTCGTGATGCTTGCTGGCTGCCTGCTATTACGACCCATTTGATATCGAAAAACACGGCGTTTTTTATTTGAGAGTAGATTGCCGACATGGCCCAGAGCGGGAAGGAGAGCACGTTCTGCATGGGAGACGACATCCCCCTTGCGGTTATGTCCGAACAGCCACACGTCCTCTACGACTACTTCAAGCAGCGCTTCGCACAGGTGTGTGTGTGTGTGTGTTCTTTTTTTGTCAGCATCAACCGTGCTAACCGGGTGACCAATGAAAAGACTTCAGTCTCAGTGCGGATGAAAAAACAAAATGCCTCTAGAGGCCACGATCTGTGACCCTGTGAGGGGGCGTCATGGGGGAGTCTCTGTTTCTCTATGGATTGAAGTCATGGGGGAGTCTATGCTACTCTCCGGATTGAATTGTGTGTGTGCGTTATCATTCGGATCAACCCCGCTAACCAGCTGACCAACGAAAAGACGTCAGTCTCAGTGCAGATGAAAACACAAAATGCCTCCAGAGTCCAAGATCTGTGACCCTGTGAGGGGGCCGTCATGGGGGAGAGTATGTTACTCTACAGATTGAAGTCATGGGGGAGTCTATGCTACTCTCCGGATTGAATTGTGTGTGTGCGTTATCATTTGGATCAACCCCGCTAACTAGCTGACCAACGAAAAGACGTCAGTCTTGTAGCGAGACAAAAACAGAAACAATTTTTCTGCTCAAAATATGTCTGCGTCTTCGTAATTATTTACTCTCGCCCATGCTAACCGGCTGACCAATGAACAGACGTCAGTCTCCAGTGCAGCTAAAAACGGCCGCTGTGTGCATGTTGTCGATGAATCGCCCTCGCCTGCATCGTACGTACCTCTTGTGATCACCCATGTGTTGCATGCTGTTGGTGGCACGGGGTGGTGTGCAGCAACCGCGCACTCCTCCATGGCTACTTTCAGCTTCGCACACGGTCGAGCTTTTTTTTGCCGTTGTCGTCACCCATGTTTTTTGTTTTCTCTATCGTTCCGTTTGAGTGTGGTTCGATCGCTCGCTGCTTGCGGCTAACCCTGCGGGCTTGCGTACGGTAGCTGCGGATATCGCTTCTTTCCAGGGTTGTTTTCGCATAAGATTTGACTCTGCGGTGCCGCTGTTGTTGTCGGGGGTTTTCATGCACGATACGGTACGGTATCCCGCATAGCAGGATCACCGAAGGGCATTAGCGTTATGCACGGACAAAGCTCAGTCGCGGACAGACCGGCGAGCCTCCGTTGTTTCGTTCCACTCACAGAATACAAACAACACTACTTGAGCACTATTTACACGCTATTTACACACCGATTCCGCTATGTGTACTGCGGTAGTAGATACCTCATTGAGAAACCCACCTGAGTGCTCGATACGGCTGAACCTCCCCCCCCCCCCCCCCNCCTCTGGTCAGGTGACGAACCCCCCTATCGATCCGCTACGGGAAGGCATGGTCATGTCGCTGGAGATGAGCCTGGGGGCCCGCGGCAACGTCATGAAGCCCAAGGTGTGCGGAAAGAGAGAGAGAGCGAGGGCGGTGATGGCGATTTCGTTGGCGCAATTGTTTGGTGTGATCGATCGGTGTGTTTACTGTAGCTGTACGCAGGACAAAGCAATGGCGGACCAAAGCGCGCGGCGCCGTCGACAGGAGGGGGGAGTTACTGAATGGGAGGGGATGGGCTCACACAAACGCTGCTGCTGGTGGCGGCGGTGTTGCTACGGTTGCTGCTATTGTCGTAGCACGTAGAATTTGTCTGTTTCACTTTCATGTTGTGCCTTGCATGCTGTGTGCGTGTCTTGGGCCGTCTTTGCTCGTTTTCGCCAGGCGTTTCGTTGTTCGAAGGGACCCAGATGCATCATCCCTGTAACGTTTTTTTGCAGCCATCTCTGGCTCCTGCTCTCCCTTTTCTCTCGCCCATTTCGGCCCTCGATCTGACCTTGTCTCACATACTCAGATTTATGATTCCTCAACAATGTGGCCGATTTTTTCTGCAGCTCCCTCTCTTCTGCGTCGTCCCTCTCAACGCTCTGCATCTCCCTCTCGCTCCTTGTCTTTTGTTTTGTCCAATCAGGCCGAAGATGCCCACCAGATCAAGATCTCCTCGCCCGTGCTCAACGCCGCGGAGCTTGCGTCCATCCTAGGCCTTGACGGTTTCAAGACCGTCACCCTTCAAACCGTCTACCCTCTCGAGAAGGGACCTGGGGGTCTGCAAGTGAGATTATGGCATGCTGGTGTGCGTGTTGTCTCTCGCTTTCGAAAGGCGTGTTTCAACTCGTCGCTGTGGAGATGAGGCTCCCTTGAACGTCGTTTATTCGTAACGGTATGGATATTGAAAGGCACTGAGCAAAGACAGGAGTTTTTTTTTTAGATGAAGACAACCCAACAACAACTTTTGTTCTTTTCGACCCCTGCATAGTGTGGACTAATTGCTTGTTGCTTTGGTTTTATCCAAAACAAAAAAAAAAACAGGCCGCCGTGGAAGCCCTAACCTCTGCTGCCGTGGAGGCGGTATCGGGCGGCGCTGACGTCATCGTTTTGTCCGACAAGACCGACGAAGGTGATTGATTGGTGCAATGCATCACAGGAGTAGCAGTGTTCTTAACTGCATGGTATATAATTCGGCCTTCTCCATCGAACCCCGCGCGGGCTTGATTGATCTCGGGCTGTCTCTGTCTGTTATCGGACCATCTGGACGCCCTACATCTGCTATGCTGTCCTGTGCTTTGTTTGTTTTCTTGCCGGTTTTTTTCGACGGAGCCCCCCCCGCCCCCCCTCCCACGGCCAACCTCTCTGGTATACTATTCCATTGCACCTCTCTATCGTCTATTCATGATGTTTTTTTTTTTTCTTTACGAATCAGCCCCCGACCCCCGACCCCCGACCCCCGTCGTCATCTTGAACCGGATGCACGCTGGACCAGTCATCAAATGATTGAAGCAACAACTGAGTACCCTCCTCTTACGCGTATGCTCCGTTTTTCTTGTTTTCAGGGCTTTCGTCGGATGAGACTTACATCCCACCTCTGTTGGCTGTGGGTGCCACGCACCACGCCCTCATCGAGGCCGGCGTCAGAATGAAGGCGAGAGAGATCGAGTTGGGTTGTTGCTGTCCCTC